CAAGTTGGGGATTGTGATACCCCCTGCCATGACTCTGTTGCCTAGAATTGCTTTTGCTATTCTAGGTCTCTTCTGGTTCAAAATGAATTTTTGGATTGTTTTCTCTAGTTCTGTGACATATATTTTTGGAATTTCAATTGGCATTGCATTAAATCTATATAGCATCCTCTGGGAGTTTTTGATAGAAGAATCTGGAACTCCAGTGTGTGTGAAGATCCAGCTCCTGCCTGGAAGCCAGCCTTGGGTTCTTCACACTTCCATCACAGGCTCAAGAATGTCTGAGACCTTTCCCCAAGTAAGTTGCAGCACTCTGGGCTTCTGGTCCCAGCACCAGGACCAGATTTAGGGTCCAGTGAGACTGGGCCAGAGGTTCTACCATGCGGACTTACTAGCAGCCTCAGAAAGCAGGCTGGGGCAGGGGTGGGGGTTCTGTTTTCACAGATCCAGGGTAGACATGGGGCTTACTCGGCTCAGAAGCTCTCTCAGAAGTCTTTGGTTGGCTCTGGGAGTTTGGGTGAGGTCAGCATTCAGCCCATAGCTTCAGGAGCTGGGGCCACATTTGAGAGCATGAGAGCTACCAGGGCACAGTCCAGAATGTCTGGAGATGGGGAGTAGAGAAAGAAGCTCTGCATGTATGTTCCAGGCTCTGGGCCAGATGCTGTGTCTATGAGATTTCAGTTACTACAACCTGTTTATGGTAAAGCAACATTATCTCCAAGCACGGAGAGGCCATGGGATTTGTCCAACACCACACATCCAGTGTGGCAGAAACTGCTAGTGGTTTCTCCAATAACTTTCTCCTATGTTACCCAAGAAAAGTTTTAGCTGGAAACATGGCTACCCAGACCGAAGACTACATTTCCCAGCCTCCTGTGCAGTCTGGTAGGGTCATGTGATTGAGTTCAGCCAATGGCAGTAACTGGAAGTGTCAAACTCCTTCCTTAGGTCACAGCTTGCGATGCATTCCTGTTGTGCTGCTTGGCAGGCAGATGCTGCCTTGAACCACAAGGATAAGGGCCACTCAATAATAACAGAATAGCCACTGTTGTGATAACTGTTGTGATTTTTCTGCTACTCTGGGTTCTGCCTCTTCCTGAGATGCCCAAGAAGTAATGGGATAAAGGATTTGAAGATCAGACTAGGAGCTCTTACACCCATGCTTCCCCACCACAGTGTGAGGTTTCTGGGGCCCCTTTGTGTGTCCTGCAGTACCTCATCAGCTCTGAGATGAGAAGCATTGCAGTCATCACTATTCAAGGAGAACAACACCCATTGCATCTTGGGCAGTTTCATCACGGGGCAGACATAATAGTGTGCTTACAGAAATGGAGGGTGTGGTCAGTCACTTGACATGGTCTCTTGCTGCAATCAAGAGATGCAGTAAGGCTAAGGTGTGTGTGTGAGGCTGCTGGTGTAACACAGCATATTTTGGAGTAAACTTAAAAAAATAATTAGTAGTAGTACATTCTAAAACAATGATTAAAGTAGAATATAGTTGCCAAGGGGAGTTAGCTCAGTGGTGCCACCGCCTGCCTCTCAAGCACAAGGTCCCAAGTTTGATCCCCAGTACAAAAAAAAAAAAAAAAGATAAGAATGACAGAAGTAGAATATAGTTGTCCAAGCTGCCATGGCCAGGGCTGGGTGAATATCCGTATTTCCTCTTCTGTTTCTGATCAAACATTGATCCATCACGGACAGTCTCATCAGAGAAATTAGGCTGAGGGCTCCTAGGATACTGAGGAGCCCCTGCAAAGTCCCAGGAAGTCACAAGCTTAGCACTGAGTCTCAGGATGCAGGAATCAAGACTACAGCAATGGTAGATGAGCAAGGGGAACCACTTCACCGCACAGAAGGGGCATGGACCAGAAAAGCAAAGACAGGAGAGAGTCTGAGGAGATTTTACCAGAACTGAGTGAGTACTGGGGCCTTTGGGTCTGCCCACATCATGGAGCAAAGGACTTTGAGTCCGGGAAGGGCAGTAAAGCCATGTGGGGAGATGGCAGAAACAACTCGCCAGCAATGTAATATCTAAGCAGCCAGGTTGGATAACAAAGGGCGGGCCTCACAGTCAGCCACAGGAGCAGCCAGGGGTGACAACATTAAACCTGTGATGCATGGTGCCAGACAAGGTGAAATGGAAGAGAGCCCAACTCCAGGGAACCAGCATCTTGGGAAATCTACACAACACGCCCCGGGACATGAAATGGAAATTGAAACTGACAAATAGATCTGATCATGGAAAAGGCTGACACAACAAAGATGGGCCCAAAGGCAGGGGTGATGGTGCTTGCCTGTGATCCCGGCACTCTGGGAGGCTGAGGCATGAGGACCACAAGCTTAAGTCCAGCCTGGACAATTTAATAAACTAGTGAGAACCCATTTCAACATTAAAAAAAAGAGAATAGACTCAACATGGCCAAAGCCAAAGCAAAGAAATCAGCGGCTAAAGCTGCTATGATCTTCCTTGGCATTCATTCACTTCTCCGGCTCCTGCTCCAGAGTCAGCTCCTGGTCAGAGTTTGAAATTGTGGCCCAACACTCTGCTCACCAGGAGATGACATGGAGATTGGGCCAGAGCAGTAACAGCCTCCCTCCCTATTTTTTATTTTCTCTCTTTCTTTAGTGGGGAGGCTGCTGCTCAGCATTTCTGCTAGCATTTCCCTTCTCAGTCTGTGCTCTTAGGTTGTTTTTCATACTCTGCTGTGTTTCATCCTCCTCACTTTAGCAGCCTGTTTGGCTTTCAACATCTGGAAGCAGCCATAGGGGTGGGTGTGGTTTTTTGTTTGCTTGTTTTGGTTTTGTGGTAGTGAAACAGATTAGAAATAGCTTAGCTCTTCCCTTTTCTGTCTGATAACTAGAAGGGGGCAGGTGTTGATTGACAGCTCCAGGCACAGCTGTCCCGGATGCCCTGTTTGGACTCCAGAAGATGCCTGTCCTGACAGCAGCAAGCTTGAATTTGAACTGAGTGGTGGAATTAAATTCACACCCATCAGAAACCTCATGTCAGAAGACTTTAATTTAGACCAATCAATGGGCTCAAATTTGGACCAATCGCGGGCCTGCTGCTGCTCATATAAGCAGCATCCCTCTCTTTTTTCTTGGGTTGGTTTACGAGGGTTTGCTCTGACTGCCCTGTGCCACTGCGTGGTCTTGTTCAAATAAAGTTGCATTCTGGTTGTCCTTTAAAGTTACTCATGATTTATTTTTCAGGTCATGTGGGCTTGGAAGGTCCTGTAGATCTACTTGGGATTCTTACTCTGAGTAGTGTGGACGGAATGGGTCTCTTAAAGGAAAAAGAGCTCCAAACACTAAACAGTAGGGGCTGCTGGCTCTGTTGGGTTCCAGGGACCAACGGTCAAATCAGCAGAGATCTATGGGTCCCAGAGTTGCTAGCAGAGCTGTGCTTTAGCAATTCACTGATTTGTAATTTCAGTTGTGATTTCTGTCTGAAGTGTGCAAAGGACCCCTTAACTGATGTGGAGGGCAGGCAGCAAGAGAGAGGAGATCCTTACCTCAGTAAACCCTGCAGGCCACAAAGCCAGAAGCAGCATTGTCACCATTAAGATCTGGTTAGGGTTAGTTTTTTTTGTTCTTGTTGTTGTTGCTGTTTTTGGTACCGGGGATCAAACTCAAGACCTTGCGTTTGCAAGGCAAGCACCAGAACCACTGAGCTAAATCCCCAGCCCCCTGGTTGTGCTTCGTTTTTAAGTTACAGTTTTTGCCAATTAAGGCAGACAGTTGGTATTAGAGGTTTTAGGCACAATACTTTTGCCCTAAATCACTGTTTTACAACTTTGCCTCAGAGAGAAGAATAGAACTGGCTTTCTTGAAGTGAACTTAATTTCTTGGCAAGTTCAGGCCAGCAAACCTGTTAGAGGGGTGAATGAAGATGTGAGAGACAGAGAATACCTTTGTCAGGGGGCCAGGGCCTTCACTGGAACGGAGCAGAGCCCCAAACTGACTCAGACCCCCAGGTTTATTGAGGAGCAACAAAGGCACAGCGTTCTGCTGAGCACAGGTCTTTATTTTAGGCAGCAAGGCGGGCAAGCAAGGCCTGGTGACAGTTTGGCTGAATAATTAACTTTTATCTCATTGTCCCCTCGGAGCTCTCTAGACGTTTGGCTCCTTGGAGTTAGCAATCTCCTGCCTCCCAAGTCAACCCAAGCAGACACTGACCCAGAGGATGTGGCAAGGGACGCCACAGGTTCTGAACTCTTGGTGACTCCGGTGCATACATAGATTCTGTGGCCCCAGTTCACACTGTACATGCAGGAATACTTTGTATAAATGAATAGCTTTTTATTTTTATAGTATTAGCAGTATGATGCTCCCACTACAGGCCTATTAATTTCATACATTTGTCATTACTCTTTGAAGAAAAGTTGTGAAAGTGTGTATGTGTAACATCAGAATTTCTCTCTAAAGCCATGTTTTAAGTTTTTTCTTTTTGAAGGGCTATTGGGGGTTAAACGCAGGGCCTTTGCACTGAGCTAATCTCCAGCCCTTTTTATTTTATATTTTATAGGTCTTGCTAAATTGCTAAATTGCCCGGGCTGGGCTAGAACTTGGTGATCCTCCTACCTCAGCCTCCCAAAGTGGTGCTGGTATTACCACACTTGGCTGTGTGTGTGTGTGTGTGTGTGTGTGTGTGTGTGTGTGTGAATTTAGGGCTGAGCTAATTAGACCTCTTTAGCTTCATGGAAGTCCCACAAAACTTTATTTTATTTGCAGTTCTGGGGATAGAACCCAGGGTCTTCTGTGTGCTAGGTAAGCGCTCTACCACTGAGCTACATCCATAGTCCCCTGGAAGCTTTATACAACACATCACATAAATTCAAATCTATATAAAAACCAAGATTCATGCTTAGATAGAAAAAAGGAAACTTACTTTGATCCCAACTAGAACAGGTTACTTTGAATTTTACGTAGCTTTAAACTTTAAAAATTAATATTTATTCTGATTTGTGGAAGAAGAGCCAGAGGAATAATAGCCACTCTACTTTTTAAATTGGAAAATCACACCTTGGTTTTAATTATTGATGATTGCACTGTCATTCTTTTAGCATTGTGTACTGAATTATGCCTAGGAACAGGTTTATGTAGATCCTAAACAGTGTTATGAAAATGTAACTGGTATCGGTCATCACCCTTTGTAAAAATGAGCACGCTGGTGCTAAACTAACAACGGGATTGGTTTGAACAATAATCACTTTTTTCTCTTTTTTTTGGTGCCAGGGATCAAACTCGGGACCTTGCGCTTGTGAGGCAGGCGGTGGAACCACTGAGTTAATCCCCAGTTCCACAATTGAATTTTTTATAAATAAAAAGGTATAGTCTAAAACAGTGATGACAAATCTTTTAGAGACCGAGTGCCCAAACTGCAACACAAAACCTACTTATTTATCACCAAGTACCAGCGTGGCCATTAAACTTGAATATCAAGGCTTTCGTTTAGAAAAAACAACATGATGACCTGACTCACATGCTGATAGAGAGGACTCTGCCGTGCCAGCTGAGGCGTGCATGTCATAGGTTTGCCATCACGGGTCTAAAAAATACAAACAGTAACGCAGTCATGTATCCTCATCATCAAGTGTTAACAGCGTTCACAACTAACCATACAGTTCACAGCTGTGCCTGCTGTGCTTCCACACATGAAGAGCACACTAGGTTTATGTACATCAGCTCCACTACCAACATGTGAGTAGTGTGCATTGAGCTACAAAATTGTGCCAGTTACGATGGCACCAGGCAGTGGGAAATTTTAGCTCTGTCCTAATCCTGCAGGAGCTGCTGTGCATGCTGCCTGTCACTGGGAGTGCTGGTAGGCAGCCTGTGCCTGCTCTCGAGCTCTGATGGGCTGAGGTGGGAAGAAGGGGAACAAGCCTCAGCAGCTCTTTAAATTCATTTATTCTGAGGATGGTTTGGGGGCCTTTGCTGGATCAGAGGCCTCCTGAAGGCAAAGCCCAGCATGATGAGAGGTAGCAGAGGTGACACAGCGGAGATAACAGTACTGTATTTGCTACTGTTGGTGCCCAGCAGACCTCTCTACCGGGCAGGTGCCCACCCCTGGTGCTGGCCCCTCCAGAGCCCTCCCGAGACTCAGCAGAAGCGACCTCCCTAGGGTGCAGCTCTGAGCACACTGCGTGGAGACTCTGCTGACGCTCAGCAGCAGCGGAGACTACTGCCTATCGCCTGGCTGTCACCCCCACCCCAATCCCATTTCTTCTTTCTTGTGAGGGTCTCTCTCAGTAGAGCTCACGCCCTCAAATTTGCCTCAGGGTCTGCTTTTAGGGCACAGACCCAAGTATTCACAAAGTTGTAAGGATTAAGTAATAATTGAAATATGTGATGAATGCTTAAATTTTAAACACTTTATTGTATAAAAGACATAGCCATTAATCCCCCCAAAATACTTCCCTTTGAACACACTTATCCCAACTTTCCACTTTCTGAAGCAGCTCTGGAAGTCCCCTTTAGTGAGTGTCTTAATGAGAGGTGATAAAAAAAAAATACAGATCCAGATTCCCTGTTCGTCAGACATGGCCGCCTCACACTTACATCTGGGGACACTAACTCTAAAGCAGAAGGATTTTGCAAGCAATCCGGCAAGTTCCATATGCATCTGATCACCAATACCTGAAGAACTGGGCAAGGGAAGAATTCGAAAGAAATAAAAGTGGCCCAGAAGAGGATACAATCTAGATGATGATTACTCAAGGCAATATCCAGCTAAAGGAGTTAGAAAAAACACTCACATTAGCAAAATCTTAACTCTAGCATTATTCTGAAGGATTTCCAAATCTTCATGTGTTTTGTTGAGTTTAGGCTTAATGGACAGCTCAAAGCCAAGTCAAACTGTTTGTATGTATAATACTCAGGCACAATGTCAGAAGGCAGAGCATAGTACGTCATAGGGAGCAAAGAAAAGCACAGTGAAACAACTGGCTTAGAACTGAGAAATACACCTGAGTTCTGAAAATATTTCTGGATGGGTCACCATTCTCATAAGAAGCAAAAACTATTAACAGCCAGTTTCCATATGAAAAGATGCTCAACACAAATCATCGGGAAAGTTCATATCAAAACCATAATGAAATAGCACTTCACTACAGTGGCTATAATTAAAAAGGGAAATAAATATTGGTGACGATGTGAAGAAATTGCTCAGTGGCACACACCTGTAATCCCAGCATTTTGGAACCTTCTTGAAAAATCCTTCTGCATTACTTTTAAGGGTTGTTGAGGTACATTCTTCAGCTGTGCCATGATTTGATAGCCAAAGGACTCTAAAAAGACCATCACTGGCAAATCTGGATCTGTGTTGGAAAGAAAAAAAAGAACCTAATGAACACATTCAATACCAAAAAAAAAGCAGGGAAAACTTCAGGCGACGTCTGGATGAAACGTCCATGATTACCTTAATTTTGAGTGGATAGAAATATATCCTGGAGGAAAATCCTTGGTGTATCAGGTTCTTCTCCAGGGACAGGAAAAACAAAGAATTTTGAAGAATACATCAGAGACAACTATATCACAGCCAGAGCTGACTATAGAACACTTTTGAAAGTGATTAAATTTATAACATACAGTTAATGAAAGATGTGGAAGCAAAAGCTTATGGAAGGTGATGGGTTTATCAGTCCTGCAAACTGAAGTCCTGTTCATCAACAGAACAGAGCTAAGAAGCTAATCCAAGAATCTGGCCAACATCTGAAAGATGTAGACACAATTTTGCAGAATGATACATGGTATCAAGTGTTGTACTATAAGGTAGAGGAGAAGCATAAACCAATGGTGCCTATGTTAATGACCTGGATTCCCAGAGACCTCTCCTACCTTCCTGTAGCCTCAGAGTTCACAACACAAAATACTTCTGAATGCCCTTCTGAGGGGTAATCTACTAATTCAAAATGCTGTGTGAGCTAGCCTTTAGGTTCCTAAATAAGCATTAGTATATTGCAAAACCATCTGACAAAAAGGAGAAGCATTTGTGAAGTTTCTGAATAAAGAACACGTTGGAAATTAAAAAAACACAAAAAACACGTAATGCTGTTGGCAACCGGCACCCACCAGAAAGGCACTTTCGTAAAGACGTTACATCATTTCCTCATCCATCTTATTCCCCAGATCTGGCACTGTGCAACTCCTGGCTCTTTCTCAATCACAAAATGACCGTGAAAAGTAAACGTTTTGAATTGATTCAGGACATTGAAGCAGCCAGGACAGCACAACTAAAAACACTCAACAAAGAGGATTCCCAGAACTACTTCCGAAAGTAGCAAGATTGATGGGATAAGTGTGTTGGAAGCAAGGGGAAGTATTTTGAGGGGGGTTCATGGTCATATGTCTTTTACAGGAATAAAGTAAAAAATTAAACATTCAGTGTCTCACACCTTGTATCACATCCTCGGGGTGGAACCCAGGGATTTCCACACACTACGCACACGCTCTGTCCCTGAGCTATATCCCTAAATATTATAGTACTGATAAAGAAATCGCTGCCGTGGTACGAGTATCCAAAATGTTAGAGATGGTGATTATTCACGAAACTTTTAATGTAAGAATGAGAAGTGGAAATCTAGTGGGTTTGCCAGTGGATTGAATTTTATATACTAAGGGGATGGGGTGAGCAGAGGGAGGAGGCTGAGTTTCTGCAGAGTTTTCGTTCTTCCCCTGGTTTGGCCGTTATGAAGCTCATCAGTCCCAGGCATCACATACTCGTTCTTTACCAGCAGAGGGCGCTGTACACATGCAAATCCGTTTTTTGTCTTCTTTTGCTAATGTGAACCAGGTTTCAGCCTAGGTCGGTAGGGGAGACAGGTATGTCAGAGCAAAGGTGGGAAAGTGATTTAAAATCGGCACAGATAATAGGAATGGTTAGAAGAGGAAAAACACTGAGTTAAGCTGGTCAGGGAATTTCCCCTGGGTGAGGCTGGCAGGAAACTCAGGAACTGCAGGGAGAGATGGTTTTCCCAGAGAGGCCACCCTGAGGGGGTGTGGTCAGGGTGTGGCCGGGACAAGGCCCTCAGAGGGCAGGGGTGGGGGCTTCTGACCCCAGCCACGCAGTGCAGGAGAGCAGTGACTCCCTGACCTGGGGGCGGGGGGGAAGCTGGATTGAGACGTGGCTTTATGAACACTGAGGACTTCTGCCGCTCTGTGGTCTGCTCTGCAGTGCCTCGCCTCCCAGTGCAGTTCTCCCAGGTGTTAACAGCATGAGGATTCCATTGCTTCCCTCCATTAGGAGCAGAGGCCAAGAAGTGCCCCATAGCTCAGCCTTGAATCAGTTAGGGCTGGAATTAACCGTGCACCGGGGATAAATGGGAATGTTAAACAATCTCTCAGGGGTGAGGAGTTTGAAAGGGCATGGACTTGAAAGCGAGGGACTCCCTCAGCCTGGGGTTCAGACGTGGTGGAGAAGACAGTGCACTGACTGCAGAGAGCGTCTCTGCGCTGTTCCTGGACAGAACAGTCCAAGGTCAAGAGCCAAAACTGGGGGGCAGAGAGCCACAGGCTGGAGCTGCTGGGCTGCCCACAAAATTCCCCAGGAAGTTGCTGTGGAGGATGCTGCTGAACCCACGGGAAAGCCACTGCTTCAGGGCTTGCCAGGAAACTGGCTGGGTCACGCCTGCCCTTCACTAGGAATCCACCCAAGAGTTGCAGCTGAACACAGCCCTGAGGAGCCAGTGGTGCAGCCACAGAACCGAGAAGACGCCAATGGGAGTGCCCCAAAACGTGTGGGAGGCGCTCTACCCGGAGCAGATAGTAAGGAAAGCACGACGGAGACCTTTGACTAGCGCCCCCTACTGACAGAGTTTAGCATTGTGCCGAGGGAGAAATGCTCTCTGAAGGGTGGATTTGGAACTGAAAGGGAACGGATTAGCAGCGGGTACAGAAGGTTAGCGGGCTCCACTAGGGGGAGAGAGCTCCTCTAAGACCTTTCTGAAAAACTTTGAGGTTATATTCTTGCCAGCTGAGAAATGTGTCAAAATAAAGAAATCAACAGAAAAAAAGAAGTGCAAAAAGAAAAAACAAAGAACAATTAAATCAATAAAAATGTGTAAACTGAATAATTGTGATTAACATGGCATTAAGTTCAATAAAAATGATAAAAATTATACTTGAAATTATGCCTAATAAATCACAATTATAAGCAGGTTTTGTATCAAAATTTACTTTGCCCAAAAATGGAAAGTAGAAGAGGAGAATGTACTAAAATTTTTATTTGTCTTAGGAGTTAATAGCTATAATTTTATTCTTGATATTAGTATATTTAATTAAAAAATTAAAAAGAGGGGCCAGGGATTTAGCTCAGTGGTTCCACTGCCTCCCTCGAAACCGCAAGGACCTGAGTTCAATCCCCGGTACCCTCCCAAAAAAAATTAAAACGAAAAAAGGTTCATCCACTAACAGAATAAAAATTGATTGAAAAAATTTAAATAACTAGAGAGGGAAAGAGCACGGACAACTAACACAGTAAATAATGAGGGAGAAAATGGTGTCCTAGCTAGTCTGGGGTGGAAATGGGGCCTTCTAATGTGGAAAGGTCAGATGGTTATGCAGGCCCAAGTGAAGGATTAGTCCTTTCTACCTGTTTGTAAGACAGGCGTAAAGCAAAAAAAAAAACAAAAAACAATTTAATATAGAGTTTCACTATGTCTCCCAGGCTGGCCTGAAGCTCCTGGGATTAAGTAATTCTCCTGCCTCAGCCTGTGGAGTCGTTGGGACTACAGATGCATACCACTGTGCCTGAGTAGAAAATATTTTTGAATGGTTAAAAAAGAAGATAGGCAAAGATATACAAAGTAAAGGAAATGCCAAAGAAAAACACAGAGTGGAGAATTTAAGGCAAATAGCAATGGCTGCAAATAGAAGGCCTAAAAATATCCACCATACCTGTATAATAGTCATACACATTAAGACATTAAATAATATTGGATCAAAATACATAATGTAAAATATATAATGTGAAGTATATTTTAAAAGTTGCCCAAATCTAAAGGATCTGAGAGAAGAGAAACTTTAAAATGCCACTCTTAGCTTTTAAAAGACTGAGTAAACCAAGAGTAAACTAGAGATGGCAGCTTCTAGTACAGGAAATCAGGTGATTTGGACCAAGCCTCCACTGAGGATGTGAGATGAGCTGAACACTGGGTTAAAGCCCCTGTTTGCCAGCACCGGAGATCTAAGAGAGTGGTAAATAAGTGCGGGCCAAGGTCTGAAGAAAGCAGGTACGCTGACAGGTGAGCTGGGCACTCGGGCCGCTTTTGCCCTGGCAATATTTGCCAATCAAGAAAAGGCAGCAGAGTGGCTGAGCACTACTTCTGATTACCGTGGGGCCGGTGGACAACAGCTGGAGTGTGGAACCTCCAAGATGGAAGAGCCGGGAGCGCCCCTCACACCACAGAATGCTTGGGGCTGAAGTCCTAGGGCTGCATCTGGGAGCAAGTCCTCTAGTCCTTCTACACTGCAGCCCTCTTCAAGTCATCTGGGAGACCCAGAAACCCCCAGGTTCTTAAAGTGGATTCGGTGCTCCAGACCGCTAGCAGTCTAGGCTTACTAGGCTTGGAAGAAGCAAACAACAACTTTTGCTGGAAAAACATGACATCATCCCAGGCCTCGATAATTCCTACCAATAGTACCTTTGCGAGTACAATGTCTTGAACATAATATTAATTTTAAAAACCTGAGGATGTTCTGCTCCCACTCAGCAGGTAGAAGCTCCTAAGAGAACATTGCTCCCATTATAATATCACACGCTGGCTGGAACACCTATTTAAAAAAATCATAGCTTCTAAAAGCCCACCGGAGAGCAGAAAGGAGGCTGCCAACAGAACAAAACACAAAATTAAAATTGCAGAAAGTGATAACCCACTCCTAAGAGATGAATCCCAAGGCTGCTTCCAGGAGAGGGGAAGGAAAGCGCCATGAATGGGGGAAGAAGAACCCTGTGTGGGTGCTGGGAAGGGGGCCCCAAGCCGCAGAGTCTGCCCCTGCTCACTGACCTCTCTGTGGGCTCCCGGCGTGGGGAGGCAGAGGGAAGAGGGTGAGGTGAGCAGAGAGCTGGGTCTCTCCAGTGGGACCCACGCAGGGCATGTGGAGGGCACAGCAACTGGTCGAGGAGAACCCTCTGCGGGTCTCTGGCCTCACGGCAGGGACACGACAGGGACAGGACGGGGACAGGACGGGGAAGCTGAGAGAGGCCTTGAACCACACACCCCACAGTTCTACAGCTCGCAGTAAGAAGAGCCCCGAGCCGAGTCCGGGTGCAGAGAGAGCTGCTGCAGGCCAGGGTTCTGGGCAGCAGAGTAAAGAATCCTCCCCAAGGGGCTGGGGATTTAGCTCAGTGGTTTGCAGGTGCAAAGACCCAAGTTCGATCCCTGGTACCAAAAAAAAAAAAAAAAGAATCCTCCCCAAGATCTGAAAGCCAGCGGCCAGGCTTTAAATGGAGAGGTGCATCCCACAGTTCAGAAAGCTA